TTGTCTTAATCTTCAGCAGGAGTATCTCCAGGAAAATGTCAAAAATCCACAAAGAAAAACCTTACCCCCTTTTTAACCTAGATCACAACACTCATGTCTTCCATCTTGACTTGGTTGATCTCCCTCAAACACCTTGCTCTTCAGACATTTAGGCAATGGCACTAAATCTTTAAGCCAAAGTTGTATGTTTTCTCTGATTCCATACTCTCCTCCTTCAACTGATGAGTCCCTCCTTTCCTCTGGATTTTACTACAGAGAGACGAGTTGCTGGGCTCACTTCACGAGAGAACTGTATGTTCTGCTTCTTTGGCCTCGTTCAGCTTCATCCATGGAAACAAAAGACTCTTCCCAGGGAGAATCATATTTATATCGTGCTCATTTGTAAACATTTGCTGCTCTGCTAACCAGGGTGGAGCTAAAATTAGTTCCATGTAGCCAAGAAAAAACTACTTATAAACTGAAAAGGAAAGATTTTTTCCCCTCCTCCTTTCTATTTCAGGCTGAGGATTGGCAGAAGGGATGGATACAGAAAGGAATGAGATGGTTTAGTGGTAGAAAACAAGTGACTTCGATCCTACAAATCTCCAGCAATTTTCAACCTAGATCTGACTATCTGCCTGATGACCCATGGATAGGCAGATCACAATGTGAACCAAAGGAACGTCATATATTTGTAGGCATATGGTGACCAGTCTCTAAATATTTGTAATAAACCCATGACCCACCGAGTCATTGTTTTAGAAATATTTCCTTACCAAAACAGAGAAACAGATAACTACGAACGAGCAAAGAACAATTTGAATGGGAGCAACTTCCAACTTCTTGCCAGCTTCCCCATTGACTTCCCTTGTAGGAAGCTGGCAGGGGGCACTGGAAACGATGATCCCATGACCACAGTTGACTGTACTGAACCAGCCACAACTTTGCCAAATTTCAATCCCATGGGAATCATGGGTCCCAGATTTTGGACTCATTCTGTAAGTTTTGAACATTGGTTCAAAAATTGTGGTCCTGTGTTACACCATTTTGCCCAAGTGAAGGTTACAAACAAGCAGACATGGGTTTTAGCAGAATACATAATCCCTGCATGGATTAATTTGAACTGGTTGTGAGTGTGTATAGATGGATATTCTGTCTTCTCTAAAATTGCAATTTCCATTCAATATCCATTACAATTCTGACTTTGCTTTCTTACAGGCTGAACATCCTGTTGGCTGGGATGAATCCCTTCTACTTCCATGCCTTGAATGTAGTCCTGCATTGCCTTGTGACACTTGTGCTGATGTATACTTGTGACAAAACTGTTTTCAAGGATAGTGGTCTGGCTTTTGTCACAGCTTTATTTTTTGCTGTCCATCCCATTCACACTGAGGCCGTAAGTATGCTAGATAACTTCAAGCTACAAATACAATCCAGCTTCATGAAAGTTTAGATCTTCCCAGACACTGACAATCTCTCCTGTAAAGATAGGTGTAATATTGGTTTCATTAAAGACAACTTCATATCTTCTCAATGTTTGTGACAGATCGAGCACTTAAGACTTTAGATCCATTCTAAGGTAGAGCAAGTTTTCTTAAAATAAATCCTATGTATTGCAGTGAGACTTCTTTCATACCAGTTTGCATTTCCGCTTTGAGAGTAATTTTAATTAAGTGCCTTGATCAATACGATTAAGAAAAAAAGACTAAGTGTTTCATGGAAGAATAATGAGAAGTTTAAAAAAAAATCACACTATGTTTTTTTAAATATATTTTAAATGAAGATGTGCAAAATTAAGTAACATGGGAATAAACTGTTTTGGAAATTCTGAAACTTTCCACACAATGCTGGATCTGAACCATACTATTCCCAGGAGATGGTTTTGTACTTTCTGGGAATAAATTATCTGAACCAGAAACAGCTCATGGTGTACTAGATAATAACATTTCAGATAAAACAGGCCAATTTTGAAGGTATATCTCATCCAGGTCAACATGAATCACATTTGATTTGGACAATTTACATCTGGAAAATCCTAAGCCCCCCCTCCCCAAAATGGCCTCACATATTGTTTAGTTTTGTTTTGGGAAAATAAACTGCATGATAGGTACCATACAAAATGTTGGAAATGTTCCTAGTTAAGTTCTGGGCGAAGAATGTAAGGCGAGGCCAAAGTGATTTCTAACAGCTCTTTATTCAATGCTGCCTGTGAGGCCATTGCACTTCCTGGCTGACACAGCTTTTTTTATAGGAAACTGATCGGCCAAACAACCAATCAGGAGTGTGTATTTTCCTGCTACAACAGAGGACCAGAATGAGAACTTCAACTGACAACTATATACACTATATACAATGCATAACATTCCTCACTCTGATTGATTTATAAATCTTAATTTTAAAGATGATTTGGCGCTATGAACTTGTATCAAAATATAAACACGCAGAGCACTTATATAATGATTTTTAAGCTTACCTGAAATGAAATCTCTATTAACTCAGCCCTATTTTGCTAGAGGATTCAGAACAAGCCATATAGTATGTACAACAATCCTGTAGAATAGGTTAATATTATGATTGTCATATTGGACAAGAAGGGATGAAACTGAAGGAACATGAAAGTCAGCTGGGTGACCTTGGGCCAATCACTGCCCCTCAGCCCAACCCACCTCACAGGGTTGTTGTTATGAGGAAAATAGGAGGAGGAAGGAGTATTGGATTATGTTTGCTGCATTGAGTTATTTATAATAAGGATAAAGGCAAGATTTAAAAAAATATTTAAAAAGAGAAACATTTGTATAAGGCCATGTAATGAATTCATTTTGGGGATGATATTTAAAACACAAAGTGATTTAAAACATAGGATTTTATTTAGTACACTAAACCCTTACTAAGATTTTGTTATTTTTATCCAAGGATGACAAGAAAGCGGGGAAGTCAAATTCCAAAACAACCGAATACATTTCTGGGAATTCTGCCATGTTTTTAGGAGAGAGTTTCATTTTGGGACTTAATCCAAAATTGTCTGTCAGGCCCTTCTGACGTGACCAGAAGCTGTGAATTCATACATCTATTTCAATGATGGTTGAACTTGAGCCGAAGAATCTGTTGGAAGAATGCCTCCTTATTAATCCAGAGTTTTTTCAATTTGTAGCTAGACAGCAGGGCATCCTTGATTCAAGCAAATACTTGAGCTTGAATCAAGGATGTCCACAAATTTGGTATCATTTTTAGCAAACCGTAAATACACTTAATGATTTCTTTTGTCAACACAAACTGAGTATTGATTCCTCGCTTGCTTAAAAAATAATTAAAGGAGTATTTCCTTCACTCCTTAAAAAACAAATAGAAGAGTTGCAAGGAGTCTCCTCTTCTTTTCCAGTGGGGCAATAGGTAAGACACAATTGGACCTGTTGCATATGCATTGCTTCTATTAGGAATACCAATCTAAATACCAATCCCCAAACCAATCTTCTAGGTCATGGCAACGTTAAGACTTGTGGACATTCATTCCAAGAATTCTGGGAATTGAAGTCCACAAGTCTTAAAGTTGCTAAGGTTGGGGGACACCTGCTTTAGGTTGATATAATCCTGGGATGAGAGAGCTAAGGACTTCTAAATGTTGTTGGTCCTCAATTCCCACTATTCCCAGCTATAAGTGAGGCTGATAGTAGTTGAAATTGAATAAAATCTGAAGAGCCATTCACTATCCCTCTTCTATTCCATTCTTTTCCCCTACCTATTTCAATTTTTCTCCCTTCCAGTACAGGTAGTCCTTGACTTACGACCACAACTGGGGCCAGAATTTCCATTCCTAAGCAAGGCAGTTGTTAAGTGAATTACACCCAATTTTATGACCTTTTCTGCCACAGTTGTCCAGCTAAACACTGCAGTTTTTAAGTGAATTGCACAGTTAAGCCAATCTTGCTTCTCCCATTGACTTTTATCAGAAACGAGCTGGAAAGGTAGCATCTGGCGATCATTTGACCTGGGATACCGCATACTTTGTAATAACAAGCTGGTTGCCAAGGGCCCAGAATTGGATCAAATGATTCTGGGATGCTGTGATGGTCATTAAGTGTGAGGATCAGTCATAAGTCACTTTTCTCAGTGCCATGGTAACTTTGAACAGTTGCTAAACAATTGGTTGTAAGTTGAGGACTACCTGAAATTTGAATTAGAATTCCTTGCTCTTGAGCAAATCTAATACTCATTGGTTATTTCGAGTGTTTCCTTTCCCATTTCCTGTAATATATTGCTAATTTTTCCCAAATGTGCTTTTTCAAAAGGCAACTGGACTTTTTGTTTTTTCTTTGAAGATATTTCACTTCTCATCCAAGAAGCTTCTTCAGCTCTTCTTCTTCTTTGCTTCTTGGGTGAGAAGCAAAACGTCTTTGAAGAAAAACCAGAAAGTTCCAGTTGTCTCTTGAAAAAGCACCTTTGGGACAATCATGACCTGGATGACTGAGAATCTCCGTAGACATTACAGATTTTTATTTCTAAATAGCATAATCAACCATTGTTTCCAGTTTGGTTTGAAGACACAGTTCCTTCAATTGGGATTCTGCTAAAACTCCTCAGATGATAATAATGATGATGACGACGACAACAACAAAAGAGTTGGAAGGGACCTTGGAGGTCTTCTAGTCCAACCTCCCGCTCAGGCAGGGAACCCTATACCATTCCAGACTGTCCAATCTCTTCTTATGATTCTACACTGCCTGAAATAACACAACCTAAAATGCATTTTTGGAGAGCAGAAACTCCTTGTATCTGACTGCTGGTACTTTCTAGCTCTCTTCTGCCCTGACTTGTAAAAAAAAAAATGTTTGCCTTTAACTGTTTTGAAGATAATTAGAAGATATTCCTGTAAATTAGAAGGGATGTCTGCACAGCTGTTAATGAAACACTGCAAAGGGCTAATTGATGTTTCTGTTTACTGGTGCTTGCTTTGGGATGGGATGGTAGCAGATGTGGAATAATTGTAATGGTGGAATGGTTTGAGAATGCGGGATCCCTAGAATGTCTAAAATTATGTACAATTGGGAGGGTGAAATCAAACTTTTCATTACAAAGAAGTCTTGAGTTCTCTAAGTACTTCCTGGGATTAATCGAGCAGTTTTTACATTCTCCCACTATTTAAATAGGATTAAATGGGTGCTTGTGTGTGTGTATATCATTAGGTTTGGGGAAAGACTGCAGACGTATTCATTGGAAAATACAGCAAACTTGAATTTTTAAAGAATGAAAATGAACAGAGTTCAGAGGAAAAACAAATGAACTTAAGCACAAGCCAAGTTTCAGAAGAAGTCTTTGATGTTCAAGATATTTAGGAGAATTTATAATAAATAGTGAATAAATTGTTAAGAAATTCACCACTTTGGAGGAAACTGACAAAATTCTCAAGTCAGCGCATCTCTTGTACTCATGAACATTTATGTATGATCCGGGAATTGCTTTATCTTTCACAAGGAAGCATCGGCAGAAGCGATGAAAAAAATCAGAATGGACATCACAATTGTATGTTAGGATCTCTCCCTTTTCTATACATTGAGTGTAAAAAGAGGAGGGGCTTCAAACAGAGAGTTGGTATTTCTGACTGCTCCTATAGGGAAGAGTATCTGACTGCTCCTATAAGGAAGAGTATCTGACTGCTCCTATAAGGAAGAGTATCTGACTGCTCCTATAGGGAAGTGTATCTTAGAGAAGAATTACTGGGTTCACTTATGAGACCATGTCTGTATTTATTTACATGTTACATTAGCAGAACATGTCAGGATTCCGGCAGTGGCCCTAATGAAATCATGAGCTTCAAGCCAAGCTTCAGAAACTCCAGAGGATTTATTAGGAGCTAACATGTCGGTATGACCTGTGTGTAGCCAATTCTGAGACACGTAATTCACTGTCACCCTTGACCCTGGTTTATCCCCACCCCTCTGGGTGTATCATAATTCATATTCTCCAGTGAAACATGTCTATAGCCAAGAGTCATCAATCATGTTCTCCAATTAGAGATTTGCACCGCAGAAACTCCAGTCACTTAGTTATAATCTTTGCAAGATATGAATGGAATGCACTTTCGATTCCAAACTGCTGCACTGCTCTATCAGACTCCTTTCCTTCCCCCCACTTTCTGTTCCTGGCAACGATAAAACAGGCATAGAAATGTTTTATGAGTGGACAGAACATTAATAAATATTCAGGACTTCCCATCATGGTTTACAGATAGTCCAGATCAGGGGTCTCCCACCTTGGCAACTTTAAGAGTTGTGGACTTCAACTCCCAGAATTCCTCAGCCAGCCTTAGCCACAAGTCTTAAAGTTGCCAAGGTGGGAGAGCCCTGGTCCAGATAGTACCACAGTTTGTCTAGTAGCTGTTCAAAGTTACTACAGCACTGTAAAAAGTGACTTATGACTGTTTTTCACATCGTTGCAGCATCCCCATGGTCATGTGATCGAAATTCAGATGCTTGGCAACTGACACACTTATGATGATTGCAGTGCCTCAAGGTTATGCGATCCCCTTTTATGATCTTCTGACAAGCAAAGTCAATGGGGAAGCCAGATTCACTTAACAACCAGGTTGCTAACTGAACAATTGCAGTGATTCATTTAACAACTGTGTTAAGGTCGCTAAATGGGGCAAAGCTCACTTAACTGTTCATACATAAAATCTTGGGGTCAATTGTGGTCATAAGTCGAGTATTATCTGTACCGAAAACCACAAGGCATAGAATAAAGCTGATTGAGGTATACATTTATGAAAGCCTTCTCTAGAAAGTTACCTAAACAACCTCACCCCTTCTTCTTTTGGAATAGTTTCAGCATAAAGCATTCTATAGATTTTTATCACTATGACCAAACAGTAACTTCACTAAATATCTTAGGCCAGGGATGTCAAACTGGCGGCCCGCAGGCTGGATACATCATATGCAGGCCACACCCACCCCAGCTCCATGAAGGGAAAAAACACATTGTGATACATCACGTGACGCCGCAAGTTTGAGACCTGTGTCTTAAGCAGTATTTGTGCTACAGGTGGTCTTTGATTTATTTATTTATATTGCTGCCTATTCACCCATGGCGACTCGAGGCAGCTTACACAATGCAAAACCATATTTAAAACAAAAAATAAAAATAATAAAAACTAACAAAAAGAATCAAATAAATTTGTAAAGTACAATAGAATAAAATTTGGGGGGGAAAAAAACACCACCAACTCCGACCTCCCGCACCGACGACAGCATATCACACTTAGCCATTTGATGGGCTCCATCCCTCTCTGGGTTCCCCAGGCCCTCTGGCAAAACCAGGTCTTCAGTGCCTTCCGAAAGAGTGGGGGCCATTCTAATCTCTGGGGCAATGATATTCCAGAGAGACGGAGCCACCACAGAGAAGGCCCTTCTTCTGGGTCCCATCAGGTGTAAGTGTTGAGGTAATTCCCTGTTAGGAGAATGAGCGCATACAGGGAGACGTAGCGAGAGTAATGTTGAATAATACACACACAGCACACAGGTACACTGTACAGTAAATTTAGGTTTTTACTTCCACTAAACGTTTAAGCACAGTCCAGGATAAGCAGTCCAAGTCATTCACAGGTAAAGCAGTCAGTTTTTAGTTCAGGGATAATCCAAATATCAAAGTCCAGTATCAAAAAACAGTTCAGTAACAGACTTACATCAACGATCAGTAACAGTCAATAGGGAAAAATGGAGGAACGGCAACTCTCCAACAGAAGAAACACAGACTCCCTGAGACTTCACTGACACGAAACAACCCAGGTTTCTGGCTCCATCTTATGGCCATTTGCGGAACCACACCTAATTACAGATTTAGTATTCTCTTAAAGACATAGTATTAAAATGTCTATCCTGGTTTATATATTTCCAACCCAAATAACTGTTAGGTGACTCACATTCCTAACAGTATCTCCCTCAGGGGTGGGACCCACAACATTCCTCCTCCTCGCTCTAATGGGTCGGGTAGATGTGACTGGCAAGAGACGTTCCCTTAGATAAACTGGATCCAAGCCATGAAGGGCTTTAAAGGTGACAGCTGGCACCTTGAATTGCACCAGGAAGCAAATCGGCAACCAATGCAGCTCCTATGCCACAATAAGGACAGAAAATTTGTGTGTAAAGTAGTATAGTCATTAAGCGAGGCAGAAGAGGACTGCATCCAATTTTACAGCCTTTTTTGATGGGGACATTAAGGGAATGACTCTAGGTCATTAGGCAAGATATCACATGACTGTGGCTTGCAGTCTTCCCTGCTGGCTTCCCCATTGACTTTGCTTGTGGCTGGGAAGATTGCAAATGCGACCACGTGACTGCAGGACACTTGTAAGTCCAAGCTGCAAGCCAAATACCTGGATTGCGATCACATGACTGAGGTGCCACTGCAATATTCATAAGTTTGAGGACTGGCTGTAAGTCACTTTTTTCATTGCTGTTGTTACTTTGAACAATTGCTAAATGAACGGTCATAAGTTGAAAACTATCTCAATAGTCATGGTTAGAATGCAGTACTGCAGGCTACTTTTGCTGACTGCCGGCTGCCAGCAGTTTGGCAGATCAAATCTCACCAGGCTCAAGGTTGACTCAGCCTTCCATCAATATGCTGACTCTATAAACCACTTAGAGAGGGCTGTAAAGCACTGTAAAACGGTATATAAGTCTAAGTGCTATGTATATATACATTATTTGCAGGAGCTTTAACATTTAGTCTTGCTGTTTGTTTGTAATTGCTAACTTATTTTGTCTTTCTATTTTTTTTAGGTAACGGGTATAGTCGGCAGAGCAGATGTTCTTGCCTGTCTATTATTTCTTTTGGCTTTTCTCTCCTATAATAGGTATCTGTCTTTTATCTTAGAATGCTTGCCATTTTTAAATAAGACTTGTGAACCTTCTGGATTTATTTTATGTGGACAATGCCAACTCCTTCCTTCATAGTCTCCCCTTTCCCCCCTTCTTTCTTTGAATGACTGGGGAATTAAGGAAAACTGAATTATATTACATCGAAACTTTGAATTGATAGACCCCGGTTTGAAAAACTTTGGCTACAATGGACCAAATTTGCATTTGGAGGTCAGCCTCATAATCATAGATGGGTCCGTTGTTTCTGAAGTCTATTTTAGCGAATGCTTCTATGTGTATGCTAGCATTTTTTTTTTCATCTGTGCATTTACCAGCCTTCTTGCTTTAGGGGAGAAAAGGAAACCCTGCACTGCTACAAGCCCTATCCATCTTGAATGTAGGAGAAAGGAGCAGGAACATCTGTGGTGGAGTCAAGAAATTCAACAAGGGGGCTGCTCTGGCCATTTTTGAAAGCCTCACCCCTCCTTTACATTTGTTGTGGATGCAATGCATGTAAAAAGGGGCTGGGGCTTAAACCACTCCCATCATCTGACCCTTTTGGTTCCCAATTCTCCACAGCTACTCCTGGAAGGTAGAGGAGATCCAAAGTGAAGTGGCTTCTCTTTATCATATTCTCCACTTCCCATATATTACTGTTTGATCCTGCTCCTTATCTATCATCATAAAATCCTCTAGCTCTGAAGCCAACTCTTGTTTCCTGCTGTTTTTCCATCTCTCTCTTGCAGTTCTCTGCTTCTTACCTAACTTGGCACAGGTAGTTCATAGTGGCTTATTTGTTCATTCTCCATTGTGTGAAAGTAAACATCAGGATTTTCCCACTGTTCATCCCAGGGAAAAAAAAATCAAGTCATATAGTCCCTGTTTTATTCTGCCTTTGGATTTAACAAACTTTTAATGTCCCTCCAAAATAATGAGCAACCTCATTGAAGATACATGATACAGCCAAATTTGCATCATAATTGCCCATGATTATAATTTTTGACCATCCCAAAAACTTTAAAGTCTACCCCTAGTCACTCAGAGTTCTCCTCCTTTCTCCACATCTTGATAATCTTTGAATAAAAATTATAGAAAGGAAAAAAAGAAGAAAAGTCCAATTTTAATATGAAGGGATTATAGGATAATAACACGGCAATAGAGAGGAAACATAATTCCTCCTTTGTGTTCCATATCTAACCCAGCCACTGATTTATTTATTCAATTTGTAAAACCACCTTTTTGCTAGACAACTCTGGGCAATGATACAAATTCTAATAGACAAGGAGTTGGTTTCTGGGTTCAAAATGTTTATTTCCATTTCTTTAGTTTAGATTAAACCTGTCTTAGGGGTTACTGGGTTTAGGACCTGTGATGGTTGCAGAGATTAGAATGCAGTATTGCAGGCAAACTCTGCCTGCAGCCTGGAGTTCAATCCTGATGGGGAAAAGGTTGACTCAGCCTTCCATCCTTTCGAGGTCAGAAAAATGAGGACCTAGATTGTTGGGGGCAATAGGCTGACTCTGTAAACTGCTTAGAGAGGGCTGTAAAGCACTGTGAAGCGGTGTATTAGTGCTATTGCTATTATACAGTTTTCATTTCACAGTTGGCTTTTCCTTCTGCCTTGCAGGAGTGTGGATCAGCTTTATGTTGGGGAACATTTCCCTCCCACTGCCTCTCCGTCCTTTTTGCTGCTTAGTTTATTTCTTGGGACTTGTGCAATGCTGGTAAAAGAAACGGGGATCACCGTATTTGGCGTCTGCCTAGTGTACGACGGCTTCCTGCTTTCACAAAATGGATCCAGATTGTGAGTAGAATGTGTAACTTACTATTCTGGCATTTTTTTCTTGCGGAGACAGATGAGCCTATTCCCAAAACTGTCCAGTAGCATGCATGCCCATAACACGTGTATGTTATGTGTTTTACTTATTTACAGGATGTGTGTGGTCACACACTATATAATGATCCATAAAAATAGGACTATCCTTCTCTAAGGCACCAGACCAAAGAACCTTCCAACTCAGTTTTATTTATTTGTTAGATTTATATCACCTTTTTCTCCAAGAGCTTAAGGCAAAGATGTCAAACTCGATTTCATTGAGGGCCACATCAGGGTTGTGTTTGACCTCAGGAGGGCCAGGGTGGGCATGGCCAGCTTGACGTCACTGGTGTTGGGGGCACCTATGGTAGCCCGAGTGTTCTGCCAGCGAAAACAGAGCTCCGTTTTAGTTGGCAGAGGGTTGCAGGAGGCCGTCGCAGCTGAAAATGGAGCTTGGGTGGGCCGCACATGGTCCTCCCAAGCTCTGTTTTTGCTGGCAGAGGCATCGCGGGCCGGTCCTTTGCTGTTTCCAGGGCATCCCCACAGACCATATCTATACACCCCGTGGGCCGGATCTGGCCCGCGGGCCTTGAGTTTGACACCCTTGGCTTACATTAATTCACATGGGTTCCCCCTTCCTTTTATCTCCACAACAATCCTTTGCAGAAGGCTGGGCTGAGAGAGTGTGAGTGGCCCGAGGTCACACAGTGATTTGTCATGGCTCCAGGTGGACCTGAACCTAGTTCAGCATTCAAAAATAAGGCCAGTGTTTGGAGTGATCCTGTCTCTAAGAGGCATTGCAGCATATTGATTTGTGTCCTCAGTTGCTGGGTTGTTTTGTCTTCGCTCCCTGATTTGCCTTGTGAATTGGGCAGCTGTACAAGTTGAATGGAGTATGGCGGCTCAGCGGTTAAAGACACTGAGCTTGTTAGCTGGACAGCTGACAGCCTGAGTTTGACACCCAAGGTCCGTGCAATGGGGTGAGCTCCTGTCCTTGCCCCAGCTCTTGCCCACCTAGTTCAAAAGCATGCAGATGCGAGTAGATTAATAGGTACCACTTGGGTGGAAAGGTAACAGCGTTCTATGCGCTTTTGGTGCCTAGTCATGCTGGCCATATCATCCCGGAAATTGTCTTCAGACAATGCTAGCTCCCTTGGCCAAGAAATGGAGATGAGCACCATGCCCTAGAGTTTCACATGACTGGACAGCAAAACCATTACCTTTACCTTTACAAATTGAATGACCAACAAACAAGCAAAATACTTTAACTACTACAACAAACTGGCTCTCTTAGGCATCTTGATAGTGTTGGACATAAAAGAAGCCTCATTCTTTTGTGCAACAGTGAACAGATACTTGTTGAACAAAAGCTAAACACTTCCATACGTACAATATACATACAATACAACACAGTGTGGCAAATATAAACATTTACAGTTTGGCTTCTGAAAGATTCTGAATGTATAAAAGGCATCACAAATTAGCACAAGAAGAGGGAAGCTAGAAAAGCTTTTCCCCCTGTTTTCTTTCTCTTTTACTTGTTGTTGCCAACTTTGCTTTGTTGCTTTTCTATTTTTCTTAGCATGCACAAATAATAATAGGTAACAATAGGTAACAACAGTAGTTTACTATTTATTAATGTTATATTCAGCTTTGAACATAAAAATGTATTCAATTGTACATTTATTGACATTAACTTTTCAAATTATAGTTAAATTGATATACCTTTTCTTTTTTCTATCTTCAGAAGTCTCAGCTGAACATTAGAGTATTAGAACATTAGAGTACATTAGAGTATTAATAATCTCTAGTCAATATTGTATAACTATCACTATATTGAAATAATATAATGTATTACATATGTCTTATAATTACACAATTGTTGAAAAAAGCTTATATCTAATCCCTACCTTTAAGGTATAAGATAATCTTATTACCATCTATCTAAAATAATATGTTTCAGTAAATATTTTTCCCTAGAAGAGGTCTTGATATCCAACATTAAGTTCAGTATTTTTGGATTTGAGCTGTAACTTTGAGAGACCCATAGCAGCCTAAATCAAAGGCTATCAATTTTAGAACAAGTGTTATACATTTAATTATGGTTGACCTCTGGAGAATTACACATAGTTCACAAAATCATAAACTTGCAGAAATTACTCATTTTCATTTTCACATTTATCCCTTTGGGGAGCAATTCATATGAAGACTGAAAAGTGAAAACCTCACTTTTGGGGGCATCAGTGAAAGGAAATAGAAGTTAAATATTTGTTTTTTAATACGTTTGAGTCAGTGTTGACTCCTGATGACTACCTGGACAAGACCCTGCAGTTTTGTTGGCAAGATTTTTTGGAAGTCAGTTTGCCCTTTCCACCTTCCTAGGTGACTGGCCCCAGATTACCCAACTGGCTTTGTGTCCAAGGCAGGATTAGAACTTGCCATCTCTGAATATCTAACCCGATGCCATAAGCAGTGCACAAAACTGTCTCTCAGGAGTTAAACTATGGATGGGAGTAAGATCGGAGAACCTTTAAAGTCGTCCTGAGCAATTAGAAAATTGGTGTGATAAAAATAAAATAATCTATAATTAGTACAATGAGAATATAATAATACTAATGAATTTGCATTGGGTAGGTAAAGATAAATGTGTCTAGTGATTTCATGTCCATGAAGTCGTCATAGCAACAATATGTTCTTTCAAGTTGGGTCTAGCTGAAGGATTATAAAGTGATGCTCCATTCGGATTATATCTAAGACTGACCCTGCTTAACTTCCAACCCCTGATAAGGTTAGTCACATGCCATCACCTGCTAATAATTTAGCAAAGCCCTAGATAATAATAATTAGATACTACTGATTATGCTTGATTGCTTCAGGAACATATGGTGCCCAATATCTGGACAATAGAACTTCTAGAAATAGGCTTGTGAGGTCCTGACAAGTTGTATCTTTGTACCTGTAATAAATTGTTTTCAAGTACAAGAGTTGTAATTTATGCAGTTTAATTCATTATGTCTGCATAAGTCCTTTTTATTTTTGGGTACTGTTTTCTCACCATTTTTAAACAAACAAACAACACCAATACTATAGTTCTAACAGTTTAGACTAATAATGCAGTACTGTCAGAAACTGCAGTTGTCATCAGGAAGGATCAATGAAATAAGAACAAAAGAAGAGGAGCAACAAAATATGAACAAAAGAAGACATCTTCTTGATCAGGACCGACATCCACAGCCCGTGTTCTATGTTACACAATAGCCAACCAAAAACATTTGGGAAGCTTATAAGCTACAGCGGAGAATAATAGTTCCTTTCAGCTGTTGCTTCCTAAGACCCAGCATTTAGAATATATCTGCCGAATATAACTCTGTATTGGTGACAGGAAGGGCATCTGGCCAGTAAACACTCAGCTCATTCAGTTGCCAGACCCCACCCCACAAGGGATTATGGCAGGGGTGGGATTCCACCAGTTCGCACCTATTCGTTAGAATCGGTTGTTAACATTCTAAGCAGTTTGGAGAACCGGTTGTTAGAAGAAATTAGTGGCCTAATCCTGTAAGGAAGGCAGGAAGGAAACATTCTGGTGTTGCTTACAGAAACTGCCTCTCCGTTAACCCTTATTACGTTCTTGGCAGGACTAGACTTCCTGTTTCAGGAACTTCTCTGGAGTTTTTCCCCCTCCTTTGCTGGTACTTTGCTTGTGTGGAGTGACCATTCAAAGTTACAATGGCACTGAAAAAAGTGACCATTTTTCACACTTACGACTGTTGCAGCATCCCCACAGTCATGAGAGGCCAGGCGAGGAGATGCGTGCCTCGATGTGAGTGATATTGAGTTGGCCACGCCCAGCCAATAAAATGACCACCAAGCCATGTCCATCCAGTCACATGACCACCAAGCCACGCCCACCAACTAAGCCACGCCCACAGAACCAGTTGTTAAAAAATTGGAATCCCACCCCTGGATTATGGGGTTATTAAATGAAGATGATGATACACAAACTATAGTTGCAATCAAGTTCTCGTCAATTTCCCTTGGAGTTGCAGGTGCCACCTGGACTAGATGATCAACCAAAATCACATAGGGCTTAAGAATTGATAACCAGCACTATGAATTGTGCTTGGAAGCCTACCAACAATCCATGCAGCCCCCACAGTAAGAGTTTTGAACCAGCTGAAGAGCACCATCATGTGGAATGAATAGTCACCTTGACAAGATGTGACAAAATTATGAATGACCATCAGTAACACCTGGTCAGAACTGTGTAAAGACTAATCTGACCAGAATTTCCATTTGCTATTCCAGCAGGAGCCATGAATCTAGATGGTGGTTTTCTCTGCAGAGGAGCCCAATTCCAGCTAGTCCAAGTGGGATTTACTCTTAAGAGTTAGAAGGATTTGAGTCCACAACCATTCTGCCTCGATGAGATTAATTTTAAATCTGTTTAGCTCCATCCAGACTCTAAAATCATCCAGGCTCTGGGGTGGGGCTTTGACTATATTTCATGATCATCTTGAGATTTAGCTAGGAATAATCAGTATACTGATGATTCCTTACTCCATAGTGATGGAGCAGCTTGTTATAGATATTAAACAGTAAGTGTCAGGGTTCTGGCAGTTACACAGAGGACACACAGGACCAAATCCTGAGACACCTTCCATCAAAATGCTTGAGAGCTCAGCGTCTTCTCCTAGCTTGAATCATCACCAAGGGAGGAGGAGAAACCACTGCAGGTACAATGCTCCCAATTCGAAATCCCCGTATATTCAGGAAGATACTATGCACAGTGGTACTGAAACAGTCTCAACCCCATGCCTAGGCCTGAATCCAACTGAAAAGGATGCAGATAATTCATTTCGTCCAGGGGCCTCTGTAACTGCTATTTCGGTACCTTCAGATAAGTTATCTTTTCAGTTCCTTTCCTAAAGTTCCAAGGATAGATTCTGGTTTTTTAAAAAATCTGTTACAAAGTGGGTTGACATTTTTATCAAACTGCCTATTGTGCTGCCAAAATCCCTTTCCTGATGAATTTCATTAATATATCTGTGAAATATGCTTTTTTTGTGGTCAACATTCATCCTTTTATATTTGCGTACCTTGAACCACCTTTGCCTTTTTGAATGCAATCTCTCCAGTTTTGGAGAGATCCTTCCGCAACTCTTCACAATCCCATTTTTTAAAATTGTACTACCTTGAATCACAAACTCCAGGATGCTGATATCCAAGTCAAAGGCACCAGCTCCAATACCAGTCCTTAGGGGTCTCATTTTGTGCATCTTGGTGTGAGATACGCTCTTTTCTTCCCATTCTCTGTCTCCTTGGTAGCTGGGTTTTCTCAGTAGCTTTTGATAAAGGGTTTTGTCAAAGGCTCTTTGAAAATTCAGGTGTACAATATCTGTTGAGTCACTTTTACTTGCATGACTGTTGATACCCTAAAAAAAGATTAGAAATATAGTAAGGCAAGACTTAACCATTGTAGAAGTTCCCTTGATTCTTTCTTTTCTTTTCTTTTTTTTAGAAAATTTCATTTTTCTATGTGTTTGCTCGTTTTTTGTTTAATAATAATTTCAACCAAATACTTAAATAAAGTTAGTGTTTGGGGAAGTAAATGGAAGGGGAAAATGTGTAACGAAAAAGGATTTTTAAAAATAACATTTTGCTTCTATTTTATTAGTCATTGTTTATCTTCTACTTTGTTTTTTATTATTTTTGTGTGAGTCATTTCTGTTTAAATAATCTGCCAAAACCCATGCAATGAAACCAACAAATAAATAACATTGAGAGGGTACATCTTTAAATAGTCTTAATTTGTTTCTTAATGTCCGGTCCTGGGCAGCCACCTAGGTTGAGAATTAGTCTTTGGATCAATTTGTGTTACCTCTCACATGGGTACTATGCTAGCTTTTTCTCCTTGAGAACAAGACAGAGGCAGAATTCTGTCTTACTAATGCTTTTGATTCCTTTGTTTATTAGAAAAAATGGAGGACTACATGTGAAGATGGCTGGGCAGCCAGCAGCTTCTCTACAAACCCCTTTACATTTTCCACCATCCAGCCGGGAAAACGGGAAGCACCGTGTGGCTCACAAGGGGACATGGAACTCCTGCCACCCTGCCTCACCTGAAGAACAACAGAGCAATGGCTATTCTGTCTTGAGAAAAGCTCCATGGGCTGTACTTAGGTACCAGAATCACACAATTGTTTAGAATATAAATGTATGCAGAATGGTAAAGAGATGTATAGGGGTAGGAGAAGGAGAAGGAGAGCATGAGTCAGAGTGTTTATACTTCAGGAATGGGGAGCGATAAGGCAGGAGTGTAGGGCAGTGGTCCCCAATCTTTCTGGCTTGATGAACTGGCGAGGGAGGTGGGATGATTCTCTCCCCCCTGCCAGTTCGCAGAGGAAATGGAGCTTTGTGTCCACCGCAATGCCTGCTGCGTGTGCAAATGGAACTATGAGCACACGCGCCTGCTATCCTCAACTTGCATGGCCCGGGTCCGAACAGGTTGTGGCCTGGGGATTGGGGACCCCCGGCATAGAGGATGTCAGCATGGATCAGATTTTTATGGGGTGGTGTAGAAAATAATGAAGATGACCATGACAAAGACGTGCCAGGGTAAAGCAGGTCTGGAATCCACAACGAACAGGTTATGTTTGTAAGCAGTTGAGACAGACATCTCATGTAGAAGCCCTGATGATGCAGTGGTTAGAACGCAGTATTGCAGGCAAACTCTGCCCACAGCCTGGAGTGGATCCTGATGGGGCTCAAGGTTGACTCAGACGTTCATCCTTCTGAGGTCAGTAAAATGACGACTCAGATCATTAAGGGCAATATGCAAATAATGCTTCTACCTTATAAACCATCCAGAGAGTGCTATAAAGCAGTGGTCCCCAACCTTGGCAACTTTAATACTTGTAGACTTCAACTCCCAGAATTCCTCAGCTGGCTGAGGAACTCTGGGAGTTGAAGTCCACAAGTCTTAAAGTTGCCAAGGTTGGAGACCCCTGCTATAGAGCACTGCAGGGCGGTATGTAAGCCTAAAGGTTATTGCTATTGCTATCTCCCTAATTCCCTGAAGTATAAGAAAGGAAAGAGGTACAGCACAATCAGACTTGCAAGATGGATGTCGGCCCCATTAGATAGACCAGACCAAGAAAACAATTCCACAGGAAGGCTAAACCTACCATCAGCCATTCAAAGCAGTGCAGACCAGAGAATATTAATAACCATCACAGTATCATAATCTTGCAATCTTTCAGACTTCAGTGAGATGCCCTGCCTTTAAAAGCTTCCAGAGAACTAGGGGTATCAATGCTGTGATGCTTTCTGTACTCCCATTCTTGCTTTCGATTCATGTTTCTCTTATCAGACTTTTGTGCAGGCTGCAGCATTTCTTCCTGTTCTCTTAAAGTTATCCTCAAAGTCTGTTATAGCTACTATTATTCAGACTGGCTATGATAATGGAATCTTGCAAGTCTTCATCTCTTTCTCTCCATTTAATAAATATAATACCTTGCTTTTGTCTTCCTTGTTATGCGAGGTTGTATTTGTATATATGCAGAACACTGTTAATATATTTTAAGGGCATCTCTCCAGAGTACGAAATGTCTCATAGCTAGCTTTAAGAAATTTTCCTCCCATTAAACAGTGAGCGCGATAAGTGTTCCTATTTATGGAACTAGATTGCTTTGGTGAAGTACAATTAAAACCAGACCCATTTTTTTTTGTACTTTTATTGTACTGGATGACTTGCTTTTTTAGAAGGCCTTTAAAGGTTTAAACTGGGTGATTCTTTAGGGTGATACACATAAACAAGTTGCCTTAAACATGATGATAGGCATATGGGTTTTTTTGTGCAATTTTGTGGTTATGCATCCTTTATTCCCGAGAGAAGGATCCATTTCAGCATTTCCTAATTTTTTATTGGATTGTGTTTGAATAGTTACCCCATAAACACACAACCACATAAAAGAACAGGATATTCCTCTTGCAAACTTTAGGCTCTCTTCTTCTTAGATTCCTTCTTTATTTTAAAGCAAAGAATGGTTATTGGTGTTGTAACATATCCAATGGATTGCATAATAGATCACTCAGATCTCAGATCACAATAAATCTATGAGCAGTGAGATATCTTTCTTTTGGTTTGTTTTATGCCTTTGGTCAGGATGTTAAATGTTGTAAGGCTATAAAACTGATGTCTTTGTTTTATCATTATTCAAAGACTTGACAATTCCACTGCATTTGATAGATGTTGAGTGTGCTCAGATATTGTTTATATTGTGCTTTTTATCTTGGGGCCAAACGACAGCAAGGCATTGCTATTCGTGCTCCTTAGCTAATGCTGGAACCAGCAAAACAAAAGGTTAGGAGAAAGAAAGCTGAGGCTCTTTGTAATTAAAGGTCCAGGATTCGCCAGTCTCTGCTGCTTGTATAATTTGTGTAGAGACTCAAAGCCTCTGCAGGATACAAGGACACAGAAGGTCTTTTCAGTGCAATTGTAGTACAGGTATGACCGATCTCTTAGTAACTGTTTAAAGTACAAAGGATCCTGAAAAAAGATTTATGATTTGGTTTTGAAATTCCAATGTCCATCCCCCCCAATAGTCACATGATTATATTTTGGACCCTAGATAACCAGACTATGTTTGCAGACATTTGCAGCATGTAGCAGTCACGTGACCAGCAATTTGTGACATTTTTTTCCAGAAACTGGTATTTACTTCCTGTTTCCTGCAAAACCTGCCCCTGAGTGAACAAGGGGTTCGTTTAACAACCACAGTGTTTGCTTAATGATTGCGTTTGCTTTACCACCACGGCATTTGCTTAATTGATGCAGAAAAGGTCATGATATCATTTGATGACCCACTTTACAACTTTTTGCCTCAGTTAGGGTCACAAGTCGAGGGCTGCCTATATTCTCCCATGATTGGCATGTCAGCCTAGTCTTCTCCATGTCTGTTGGCTTTCAACAGAGATGGAGAACTTAGGCCTTCCTAATATGGCCAACAGACATGGAGAAGACTAGGTTGACATGCCAATCATGGGAGAATATAGGCAGCCCTCGACTTGTGATATATCAAGGGCTATTGAGCCACAGATCTTTTTTCCCTCAGTTTATAGCTTTCATTATCTACAGCTAGACATGAATACTAGCATAGAAACATCAGTTTGCTAATGCAGTTGAATCTCCCCAATGTTATACTAACCTTTCTTGACATCTAGGAAATAGACTTGGTTCATGGATTGCTTGCTTAACAAAGATTGACTGAATAGATTATGATTGGCTGTAAAACTGAGATTGCACGAACCAAAACAAAGTTTAAGAGTGGGAGGATGAGAGGAAATGATGGACCAGGACAGAAGGAGAAGTAAAGTAGTTTTTTTTCCTGAGATGTGTTTGGATTTTTTTTTTAAAAAAATCTTTTCTAAGCAAGGCCTGGGAATTTCCTTTGTGTGTTTGTTTTTGTTCATTTGTTCATTTAACAACAGTTATACATGTCATCTGACCAGCTCTGGGCAGTGTATATGAACAAACCAAGGCAGATGATTAAAATAATCCATTAAATAATAATATGTATAATAGCAAACAATAATAACCGTGGCTTGGATCAAACTAGGGTCCAAAAACCTGTTGAGAGAAAGCTGGTTTAAAGACATTCCTGAATATTTTCCCCCAACATTTTGATTTGTTAAAATAGTGACATGCAAATGGGTGTACATGAAATTGTGAAGGAAAAAACCCTGAATATGAGGGTTGAAAGAAAAGTAATGCCTCCAAAGTTATAAGTTGCCAACTGATGGCAATACTGATGCGCAAGAAATTTTGACATGTTCTTAGCACTTGTTCTCTCACTCCAGTGGGTGGGAAGTTGCTAGTAGAAACATTTGTGTTGCTATAGTGTGTGCAATGGAAGCCTGCAGTAATATTTATAAGTCCAATTTAAGCAACTGCACCATGTTTAGAGGTTCGATTGCTGATTTTCTGTTGAAACCCTGCTGAATGCAGATTGTTTATGATGATGATGTTGACATGAGTAAGGTGCATCACTGTGTCCAAAAGTGTAAAATGCTGATGTAGGAGATAACCAGTCTGAGCCCAAGGGAGGGGTCAAATGCATCATCAGTCATGAGTCCCTTCATGCCCACAAGATATCTAAACCCAGCCCACCTTGAATTCTGTTGACTCTTATCTACCGCCAACTTGTTTTGATAGTAGTTTAGATTCTTGTGGAGAGCTTACGCTTACAATAAATCTATATTCATTTGAACTGCCTGGACTCCTGATTTCCTGCGCTTGACAGGTGAACTAGAAAAATCTGACTGGATGACCTTTGACAGCAGCTGACAGCTTTTGCAAAGAATAGCTGATGAACTGATTGAGACAACTGGAGGATCACCCAACAAGAAATTGTTGCTATGCTTGGCATTTTGTAGACATAGAAGGGTTGCATTATTGATATTCTTCCATATCTGAAGGTGTGTGTTAGTTAGATAGGTTGCTTACATGCTGATGGCATGGATGACAGCTTCAGGAGTTAAAATTTGGCAGCAGTTGATGTCATGCTACAAAAGTGAAGGTGAGGAATTTCTTCACACATCATGACAGCTGTCAAAACATCGGCTTATTATTATGACCTAGAAATTTATGGCAGTTCAAAGGATATCCACACAGCTTTACCTGTGGGGAAAAAAAGAATAACAAAAACAGGCTTTGGCAAGAAAATTCATGATGACAGTTTGGGGAGATACAGACGGTGTTTTTCTTATGAATTTGCTTCAGGTTGGCACCCCTGTCAACTTAGAGCATAACGTGCAACACTCAAAATTTTGAAGCAACTATTAAATGGAGTTTGGAAGCACAAGAAGGAATTGCTGCTACTACATGACAAAGCTAGGCCTCACATCTCCTGAGACATCCAAGAGGATGTCCATCTAACCTTGAGGAGTTGGATATCACCATCCTACCCATATTTGCCCAGTTTTGTTGCCATTCCATGTTTTTCCAAAATTGAAGGAATATACTTAAGGATATTTCTATGATGCGAAGAAGAGCAAAGGACTCTCAGCACCTGATTGTAGAGACAAAGTGTGAAATTCTGTCTTTTTAATAACTTTATTAAATTTTAAAATAAATAAAAACTAAACTAATAATTGACATAGGAGAGAGAGAGAAAAGTAAA